GGCTTTTAGACTTCACAAGTTGCTGTTGTACATACAATTTTCACAGGCTCCTGGTACAACCTCATTTATTATGATGATTATTATTATTATTAACCACTTATAACAAGTTTCTTTGGGTGATGGGCCGAGGCCATACAGCTGCTTACATACTGGTGCTAGGAGAAGGCTACTCTTCAAACTCATGATTCTGTGAACTGCCTCTTTATTTCTATTGTTTCCAAACTATTGCAGGAAACATGGGTGTATTGTTAGATCCTGATAATTGATCAAATTGGTAGGCTTCTATAACTCAAATTAAGGGGATCCATGAAAGTAACAATCATCAAAACAATTTAAAATTAAACAATCATGTCCATTTTGTGCCATGAAAATCCCAAAAAGTCCCAGGGATTTCCCTTCTCTTGTTCTGAATATGTGGAGTTTAAATTTAGATTGCATTCTTCTCTGGGAATTTGTATTATTGTGTATGTTTTTGTGTGACTGTCATAGCTGGAAGACATGGTTTCTGAGCTGGCTTTGGCACTAATTGTTCCTGTAGCCTTTGGCCACTCATTTGACCTCACTGTACCCTGTATTGCCTCTTTTGTAACAGATCAAAGGTTGTATTCAAGTGTCCCTCTAACAGTACCCTTTATATGATTGTTTTTCTCCATATAAATTATAAACTTCCTCAGGTGAGCCTCACACCTGCTGTTATCTTCTGGCACATTTCAGATATTTAATAAATGCGTGCTGATAGTGTTGAGACACTTATTGGCACACTTAACATGAGTGAAGTTATAGGAAATCATTATTGACCGCCTTATGAACAGTTAACTGTCTATAATCTGCATATATAATTTTCCTTTACATCAATATAACTTCTGCTTCTCCTGAAGAGGAAGGAGTGCCCCTTTACATCAGCTCTTTTACATGTTAATGCATTAGCAACTGATATCTTATTTGTGCTATAACTGACAGAATAATGTAGAAAAGGCACGTAAGTAGGAAAAGGGGTTAGTTAGGTAACATTGTATAGGGCATCTTCAAAACAACAGTTCTGGTATTTCAAATGTCAAGCTAATTATCAGCAATGTTTAAATGCAATAATAGGCCATCTTTGCAGAAGCTGAAATCTTCTAGCAGGTATGGACACTATAAAAATGTCACATTTTGCCACTATTCTCTTACGTGTCAGCAGAATACAAAAATCTGAAAACAAAAGTTATGTCTGTGGAAAATAAAGAGAAACCATTACTTGTTTGGCATATGACTGCAAAATTAATTGTCATAGTGATACAATTTACAGAGTTGTTATTGGAAAGAAGAATAGCGGGATTTCATATAACGTAATCTGATGAAGTGAAAATAATGCTTATTACAGATAAACTTTGAAGCCATTTAAATATAAGCTTTTGGTAATGTACATTCAGACATATCTTTCCAGACCCATTTGCTATAAAGCAAATTTAAGTATCAGCTTTATACCCTTTGGTAACCCCATATTACACATACAGTTTTACAGAAAATGAAACTTTAATATGATTCTACATAAAATGCATAAAATGATGAGCCATGCCAATAATTCATATGCACTTCATATGCAAATAGTTTTATCTTATCCATCAATTATCATGTAAACATGGTATCACATGGCAAATTTCCCTGTAATACAGTACAGTACCTGTATATAATTACGGGTGTATTTTGCCAATGCAACTGTTACACAGAATCGTAATTAATTCCTCTGAAGATTACTGCGAGAGTTTTGGATACTGATGCTGTTTTTGGACATTTATTACTGCTCTTTAGTTGGCTTTTTGCTGTGCCTCAGAGACAGATGTAAAATTAGTGTCTATTTTGAGCCAGGAAACAGTACATCTCTCCCCTTGTTTATTGAATTGCAGAAAGGAATTCTTTGGGCTCCCACTTCTTTGTGGTTTTGAAGTAAGCGTCTGTTTTCATGCCAGCCATGTAGCTGCGATATGTGTATAAAACTTTGCTGAAATGCATGTAAAGAAGAGGAAGGATTGATCTAACATAAGGATTAACTCGAACTCTGCTACATTATGTAGGATGGTCTATGCTTTTGGATGCGGAAATAAAAAGTGTGAATCATAAATTCAAAGAAAAGCCTTGTTCTAATGCATTCTGCCCAATGACCCTCATTTAACACCAGTATATGTTGGTTATTATGCGAATTGGAATCCCCTCTCTGCAAAGACAAAGCTGGGATATGTCACTAAGATCTTTTAGGCCAATGGTGATGATGGTGACAAAGGATCAAAACAAGAACAAATGGGAGCATGAACCTGTTTTGAAGTCCTAATGTAAATGCAGTTAAATTCAACTTGCCTTGGTTGTGACAATTTACTCGACACTTGCACTAGGCAAACTATTCACTGGATTTGAGATGAAAACTTCAAGGAAATCCGGGGGATTTTGAAGTGGGAGTATGGGGTGAGGAAGCAGGAAGTGCCATGTCCCTGTCAGTAGATTTAATTTTGATTGCCAGAGGTCAGCCAGCAGGAGCAGCATTCAGTGATCTCATTTGAATTTGGATATAAAAACCGAGTTCATTATAAATTGCTTTACCTGATTCACCAAAATGGTGGGGAGGGGCAGAGGCTGGGTGATACCTCAGTGTAATAGCTTGTGCGAATGGATATCCTAGTTAACACAGCTCTGGAAAAGATGGCATACCGCTTCTGTAAGTGAACTTGACAGCAGTTATTTATTTGCTTTAAAAGTATTTACTACTATTTGTGAGCACGAACCCTAAAGGTTGTGCAGTATTGTTGGCCTGTGAAGGTGATGGATGCTGTACTCCTGACCCTATATGGTGAGACATGACTTCATTGCTTGTTTAGATTGTTCTGATATTTGGGACTCCTCAAGGGCCGTTCATAAATCATTTATATTTTTTTTTTTTTTGCACAAGAAAATATTTCAATTGTATTGCTGCAGGAACACTCATGTGTCACATGGGATATTGTGGTCCATGTAGAAAAAAACCTTAAAAGGCATGTTTTTTTTTTTCCAGGATAAAGGCCTTTTAATGCCTGTCCAGCCTTAGATAATTTTATTCACTCCTTCTGGACCTTTCTTTATTCCTCCTGTGCCCAGAGATCAGTTTTTAGGAGGTGGGTTGAAAGCTTCCCAGGCCTTAGGAGCTTTTGTTGTCCTACCCCCCACTCTCCCACCCCACTCTCAGTGTTCAGAAAATTTGTAAAGAATCTTCTGCTTGTTGCTAAGAAATGGTTAAATCTCAGTCACCAGGAAAAAAAAAAAAAACACATTATTGATTGTGCTAAGGTATATCTGGACCACACAGCTAGAGCAGGGATGTTAGAATATCTCTCTTTTTGTAGATCTGAGGGCATTACCCAGCCTGAACTTGCCTAAGCCCTTGTGGTCGCACCTCCTGAAAAGGTTTTGTTTCCCCCGTCAATTGGTATTCAAACCAGGTCAGCAGATTCTGTTTGCCCGGCTCCGCTGCCGTTTTCATTTTAATTTGCACCTGTTGTGCAGTTGTTCGGAAGGCAAGTGCAGACCCGCGGATTATACAAAGATCATATTATGAGCAGATATGCACGGTGTAATCTTTTTGTCCCCAGCCTCACATGACAAAAAAAATCTCTCTCTTTTTGTTCCTTTTTTACTCCCTGGGAACCTGTCAAAGCAAACAGATATGACTGACTAAAATTTGTAACTAGACATGTTTCCAGAATTCTCCAAAAGCATTATGAACCTGACACACAATCCTTTTCATTTTTTTCCTCCTTTTCTGCCACTTTTGTATAATCCAATAGCCGGCAAGAGCCACTTGAGATAGCTCAGTTGATAACTTAGCGGAGGATTGCTTTATTAGGCGCAGAGAAATCAAAATGAACCTGAAAATTGTTTGCACTTTTTTTTCCACGGGCTTTTTTTTTTTTTCCTCTTCTCTCTCTCTCCCTCTTGTTCCCATGATGTCATGGTTCTAACTTGTTTTTTTGTGTGTGTTTCTGGAGAGTTGGGTTAACAGTTCTTGGCAATCCTGTGTGTGCGTAACGGCTGGTGTGTTTCTCTAGCTGAGCTAATGCCCCGTGTTTATTACTCTAATCTTTCTTGTCTGGTGGTAAAGTGGACAATTTATGTACTAGCATGTAGGCCGAGAGCCTGTGAGGGCTGACTAATTCAGAAACAGCCACCTTCAATTGAGTTCACAGACCTTATTTACAGGCTGTCTATTTTAAGAAAAGCTACTGAGCATTGCTGGGGCTGAGGGCTGCAAAAGCAACCCGCGGGTTTCTTGTGAGTTATTTTAACATTTGTGTTGCTCTTGCCTGTGTCACTTTGAAATCTTCTGTAATTATGGCACTATGAAGACATCTCAATAGTAGTATTAATGGCCCAGAAGATATGGCTTTTCCTCATTTTCTGCTTAAAATATTGAGATATAAATGGCCTTAGCACATGACGGTTGACGTAGAAGCAAAAGTGAACATTTCTGATTGAGCAGGTTTGGGTATGTGTTTGTGTATTTGGATAAATAGATGAACGTGGTGTGTGTGTGTGTGTACTGTTACTAGCAGTGAAACCACAATTAATATAGTGAAGTCATCTTGTATTTGTGGTACAACATTATATAGTAAGCACTTCATGTCACTAAGTTAATGAAATTGCCCGTTGTAGATCTATTTTGTAAGTTTTTGCAGAGTATTACAAGTGCTTCATGCAATTTGGCTCCTTCATTTGTAAAATAAGTATATTTTGAGTATCTGTGACTCTGTTGCTTTTTAAAATTTCCCATTTTTTTTAGTAAAAAAAATTTTTAAGTCAGAAAAAGCACCCTAGCTGTAATTAAGTTAGAATAAAAAATGCTAAAACATGAAGGCTATTAATTATATTTTCCTGACATGGTTGAGTAATTCAGTTGTGAAAATATTAATTATTTTCCATTTAACTAAACAATTAGGGGGGACTGATATTTTGCAACAGGGTGTTTAGACAGCGTGTGTCTTGTGTTTCTTCTACAGTGGTGAATTATGACAATGTAGTGGACACAGGTTCTGAAACAGATGAGGAAGACAAGCTGCACATCGCTGAGGATGACGGTATTGCTAACCCCCTGGACCAGGAGACAAGTCCAGTTAGCATGCCCAACCATGAATCCTCCCCACACGTGAGCCAAGCTCTGTTGCCAAGAGAGGAAGAGGACGATGAAATAAGGGAGGGTGGAGTGGAACATACCTGGCACAGCAACGAGATTCTCCAAGCCTCTGTAGATGGTCCAGGTAAGTGTCTCAAATGAATTAGTCCCTCCCTATGCTGGCTTCACCTGATGTGTTCTGCCTACTGGAACTTCTACAATGAAATAATTAAAATATTTCTTCCCATCACACTGGCAGAAGAGAGATACCAGAGCTGGTGACAGATTATAAAGTGATAGTAGTATTATCACATTACAGCACTAACATCTTAGAAAGGGGTTGAATTTCAGTTTGATGCAAGTTGAGTATGAACTAGACTTTCATCACGGAACATGAAGTATTTGCACCACATTTACAGTGTGCAAATTATATAACATGATCAATATCTACACCTTCCTGACAGAAAATGTAAGCAAACATAAAAACTCACAACATATGCATATAATATAACAGCAACGTTTTAGGTGGACACCATGGAGCAGTCCAAACCAAGCTACCTTAAGCTGTCAGCTAAATGTAGTTTCATTGTCTGTCTGACACCTCCTATTGTAAATCAACTATGTAATAATCCCCTTTCCTTAAGTGTGAATGTGATTTCACACCTTTACCTGGTCAGGTAGCTCTCTTATTATTTAACAGCTAAGTACTTGATAATGATCTTGCTGTTTGGCGGGATTCTCAAGGGAATTTAAAAAAAAAATGAAAGGTACAAGGTCAACTATAATAAAAACAACAAAAATTGTGTTCAACCCAAAACTTAGATGCCACTGTGCAAATAGAAATGTCTAGGTCTTAAGTTCACTTGCGATGGAACATCACCATGTTGTAAAATGATTCATAAAATACAGGAAATCTTATTCCTATTCATTCCTTCTATTCATGTTTTGTGATAAGATGATTTGTAAAAATTCTTTGTAATTATCCCCTGTAGTGGAGACCTACTTGGCTCCCTCAGCTCCAGTCCAGGACCCAGGGAGAGCTATCATTATTTACCTCACCTTGTTTTCTCTCTGATAACCTGAGTAACAGTGACACTTTTATAAATAGGTGGGGTGGGGTGGGGGGAAGGAGTCTACCTACCTGCTATTTTGATGCCGTGGGCAGAATGATTGCTGGGGATTCTGGAAAGAGGATTTAAAAAAAAAAAAAGCACTTCCACCACTAAAGAAAATTGAACATGAAAGAAAAAAGAGAAAAAAAGAAAAACCGATGGCAGTTTGAGTGGAGTGTGTTTGTTTTCCGTTTTCCTAGCACACCGTGCCAAGTTCTGTACTCTGTTTCCAATTTTGCTTTCGGTGAAGGTTTCTCGAATCTCAGCAATCCCACGCATAAACATTTATCGTTATATCCATTAAGACTTAAGGTTTTAGATTTTCAACTATGAGGGAGAACTCAGCCAAAGATGCTTGAAAGATAAATACGTTTAATTAGGGGCAGAGGATGATCATTAAAGGAAGTCTGACTGCTGCAGAAGTCATTAACAATCTTAAATGAAATTTTTATTTTTATGATAGCCATTTACATGTATAATAAGAGCCAATGATTCTTGGGAGCAGTGTGACAGAAACAGAGTGTGGCGAGAACTCATGTAAGACATACTATTTAAATGAGCTGGTGTTAGCTATTCATATTTGTTAATGAACTAGATATGCAGGGCTATAAGAATGAATGTTCTGATGCTTTAAATTTTAATATCTAGAAATCAAGAGTAAGGACCAATTACTAGAATTTCCAACCTTAAAGGAATAATTAATAATGATATAACAAATGTACAACCCCAAACTTCTTTAAAAAAAAAAGTTTAATTTCAAAAATTAAGATCAATAGTTGAAAAGCAGCCAAAGCAGCAATGTCTGGTTGTAGTAGTTACTAATGGTAGAAGCTTTTTGTGTTGGTCATGGATCATAATTCTAAATGTTTTAATATGGAATAATCCATAGAATGCCTTGCAGACCCTGTTATCACCTGTAGTTAATGGTGCCTGGGATACAAATGAACAGGCTGTTCTGTGCTCTTACCTTTATGGTAAATAAACTAGCATTCTGGAGTCACAATAATTAAATAAAATGTAAATCCCTAATCTCATTTGGCTATTTGGACCAAGAAAGTTACCGGGCTATTACCTGTCTAGTTCTAATGATTAGTAATGATTTATTGTTCTTTTTTTTTTTATTGTTCTAAAAGTACTCTGATGTGGTGCCTTGATGTCTAATGAAAAGAAATTGGTCTTAAAAAGCGACTCATTGTTTATCCTGACTCTTAGATAACACGCTTTTCTTCTGATAAAATATTTTTCTTATTTATTGTTCAAAACACACAATATAGACAATAACTCTAAATTTGGTGCTGTTTTATTTAGTAGTGTTTTATCCCGGTGCCTGGCTGTCTGCAGTCATACCTCAGCACATAGCTTTACTCTGAGATAAGCCCCCTCTCCTTTGCTCTTTCTCCCATGCTTGCTGTAGTTTGTCTGCAGGATGCAGGTTTTGAACTGAAGAGCGCAGTGGAGTTCTTACTGTGCCCTTCCGGTTCCAGCACAATCAAAGTTTTGTGTTTGGAATTGTCCTTGACATTCTTTCGTCCCACAATGGGGTGGACACAGTGTGCTGGAAGCCATGACATCATTATCATTGACACAGACTTAAATAAATCACCTGCGTCTTGGCCTCTTTCTGCTTATTCAAGGATTCCTCATCTTAAGGAAGAAAGTGCTCTTTATTTTTACAAACCTTCATCCCAAGGGTGACTGGAAAATGCAAACTTTTACAAGTGTTTTAAAAATAAATATACCATGTGGTTTTAGATGCAGTATGCTGAGTCAGAAGTGTCTTGGAAAATGCTTAAGATTAGGCATGAGGCAGAAAGATAGCCAGGATTACCATGAATTCAGAGAAGATACTCAAGAACACCGTATCATTATAGCCTACTGAATGGAAACTCATTGGAAAACTAATTAAATAGGCATCTATGTATCTGAGCCTGAAAAGGCTCAGAAGCTGTTTGGTATTTAAAGAGAGACAGAGAGAGAGAGACTGATGCTCAGTAAATCAAAGCAAAATACATTCTAGGTAAAAGTGGCCCCACTTCATCTGTTGTGTCTGAAACATCGTAGTTGCACAATCTTTGGGAAGAGGAATGGCAGCAGAATGAGCGCATAGAATGCAGCACACGCACAGCTCTAACACATTTGTGGACTGAGCTTATATTAATTTGGGAAACAACCACCCACTGTAACTTCTCTTTACTTTTTCATAAGAAAATGACAATGAGGAAGGAAGTGCAGCAACAATCTTGAACATTACCACTATTATGCAAAAAAAAAAATGCTGTTAACTGTTTTCCCCTCAGTGACTTGATGTGCTCTCAGATGGAAAACTTATGATTCTTGTGACTCTTGGCTACCAGAAATCACATGAGATGAGCGAGCAAGAAAGACACAAAAGCTATATTTATATCTAGTACTGAACTTCTCAGAAATACCTTAATTTAATTCCTTGCAGAGGCTGATAAAAATACCAGATGAGGGAGCCTTTCAAACGATCAATTATTACAATTGACAACACAAATTGCTACATATTGAACTTCTAAATGTTTTATGCAAAATGTCCCTATGAAAATATTCCTTAAATAAAAGTCCAGGGCCAGAAGTGAATTTCAAGTGAATTTCATCCTTTAAATAAGTATTATTTGAATGATCTATTATGAGCTATGGCATTAAATTAGCACCTAAATACATCTGTGTATTTTACCTTAAGTTGATAAATAGTGCCCAGTTCTGATGCCACAAACAGTCATGCTGGAGGACCCTGGAAAATGAATCTATAATAATTAATAAAAGCCCTTGTTCTACCAAAGTAAACTAGGAAAAGCAAAGCATGATCTGGATACATTTAAGACTTCACAGAATGAAATTTTAAAGTTCCTGTTGTTTCAAGTGATATTATTGTCAGAAGTATTCATCTTGCCTAACGTTTGCTTTCGTTAGTGTTGTTATTGTCACAATGAAATAAATGGTTAGAAGTTCAACTTAAAAGATTTTTACTTGTCAGCTGTGCTGCTCTGTTCTGCTCTGCTACCTGTGCCTGGGCCTTGTAGGCACAAAACTCCAAGACTTCTCCTATTTTTCAAACAATCTCTTATTTTAAACTATTGCAGTTTTGGAAAATGCTCTTTATTGATCTATGAATCTTTGACTTCAATGGAACACATATTCGTGCTCTTCAGAATAGTGAGCTATTATTTTACTTACATATTTTTCCTCAAATAGCGACGGCAATTATCTAGTAGGGTATAAATGATATGGAGAAGAGACATTTATGGAATGATTGGGAAAGGAACAAGCTGGAGACCTCACATTTTAATATCTAACATTAAGGTTTTTATAAATTATGCTTGCATCAGTTAGTGCCAACATAGCTATCCCAAAGATAACAGAATATATGAACATAAAATCAAAAATCCTGATTTGCCACTTAAGCATCCACAGTTAGCAGAGGCATAGCAGCTAGCAGGCCTGTTCGTAAGTACAAATACTTAGTTGCTTTTGACTCTTATTGAAAAAATAATATCTTCCCCCTGTTTGTCACTAGATCTGCCACCAGAAGAAAAGCCCTTCGTTTGCTCCAAATAAGCACCTCTGTTTTTCACAGCTTGCAGTAACGCTTAAAGTAAATAAGTTCTTGTGCAGCTAGCACTATTGGATTCATTCAAATGCCTGAACAAAGCTATTGTTTAGAGGTTTACAACAAGCCTTTTCTGTTTCCTTTAAAAGAATCTTTCTTTTTCCTGTACTTGGCATGCTTAGTACAGTAAGCCTTTCTACAATTTTTAAATGCTAAAGATGATTTTTCCCCACAGAAGAAATGAAGGATGACTATGACACTATGGGGCCAGAAGCCACGATCCAGGCCACCGTGAACAATGGTACAGGTAAGTTATGGTTAGCACACTAACATCGTATGAGCCCTGTGTCATATGGATTTAGTGAGTCAGGGAAGCAAACTCTTGCCCATCCATCTGTATCTCCATGATTTGACAAGCAAGTCAGACTTCACAGGTCTCTGGTTTTGTTTCAAATCAGAATTCTCTATGTTTGAGCATTTTATTAATCAACTGTATCTTTCATTCTTATTCCCCTAATTTGCCTCTAAAGCTCAGTATGAATGGATTCTTTCACAGCATGAGTTGGGTGCATTTCTAGTAGCAATTTTTATTTGAAAAGAGTACAGATATAATTGCAAAATTAGACTGTGCTGTTCCCCTACTAGCCACCACTTGATACCAGCCATCGAGAATTCAAATGACTTGGTATAATTTAGATTGTAAAATGTTGTGTGTTTCTTTTTTTTTTTTCCAGAAAGACAAGTTTCCATGAACAGTCTTTACAAAATTTAGGCATTTGAATTCTTTTTATTCTTTCTTCATTTTTAATTCTCTTATGTATATTAGCCCCTCTAAATATTGATTTTCAGACAGAAATTTTACAGATTTGACAGTTTCATTTATTTTGAATGAGGCTAAAATAGTACAGTACAAACTAAGTTAGATCTTGTTTGACCCCACTAGTGCCCTAGAATCAAATTTTAGGACGTATAACTTTCTCAGTTCTTTCCCAAAACAAAATGACATTTTTTACAATCTTATGTCATCAGTACTAATTTACATCAAGTCAGTGTGTTTATCTCTCTTTTCCTGGGTGAGAATAATTACTCTTAGTGTTTCAAACATTCCCCTACACTAGCATTACAATATTAACAGAGTAGGATTATTTGCTAAGACAAAGTCCAAACTATTTCCACTCAGCTCACATCTGAAAAAAAAGTACAGTTTTATGGAGTTTGGGAAATACATAATTCATGTTCAAATCTTGCTTATATTGATACCAATCATAATATACTATTTATGCTATATTTCTACTTACAATCCCTTTATGAATAACTTAAACAGAACTAGTTTACTTCCCTGGGTACAAAATAAGAGAAAAAAATAAAAAGCAATTGTCATTTTTATTTGTTTGATTAATGTCAACTTAAGGCACAAAATGAAACTTCATATTGTGTTGTTATGGAAAAAGTCTAGGATTAGGAACCAATCATACTAATTTTTAGTTACAACTTGGGAATAGCTAGATTATGGACATGGGAAGTCACTTATTAGATTTGGAACTCAGTATCCACAGCCATAAAATGAATACATAAAGCTGTTTATTTCCTAACAATATGACTAGCTTTAATATTCTGTGCTGCAGGTATACAATTACCATGTAAGACTGGAAACAAGCCAAAAGTACTTTATATAAAAATATAGTAATTAAGAAATATTATCCATTAGATACTACCTATAATGTCCCAATCCATGTGACCAAAAATAGTCTCATATTCCCTTTGAAGATGGATATTTGGCTTGAAACATAAATAAAACCTGTTTTGTAATACCTTTATAAGAAAATGTATCTCACAAAGTGACAATTTGCTAGCCATTTTATACAGCTATAATCTATAGTGAGGATGGGAAAACATTTTTCCTGTACAGAAGGTATAAAAATAAACTTGAATATCCTTTTACCAGACTTTAAGATTGTCTTTTTTTCATACTACTTATTGTTCCTTATGGTTCATATATTTTAAGTCAATAAACAGATCAATATTTTTAAAGATTTTATTTTATTGTTATTTTTATTGTAAAGTCAGATATACAGAGAGGAAGAGAGACAGAGGAAGATCTTCCATCTGACTACTCATTCCCCAAGTAGCCACAATGGCCAGAGCTAAGTTGATCTGAAGCCAGGAGCCCAGAGCCTCTTCTGGGTCTCCCACGCAGGTGCTGGTTACCCTGTCATTGACTGCTTTCCCAGGCCACAAGCAGAGAGCTAGATGAGAAGCACAGCTGCCGGGATTAGAACTGGCACCTATATGGGACCCTGGTGCATGCAAAGTGAGAACCTTAGCCACTAGGCTACCATGCTGGGCCCAATCAATAAGTTTTTATTGAGTGTCTTCAATGTGCATGTAAGGGAAGATGGGCCAAGAAGACAAAACATGGTTGTTATTTAATTTAGGAGATGAGATAAATACATGCAAAAAAATAATTAAGCATAAGTGACACCACTTGATAAAAATGCAACCTGTGACAGCAAGCATAACTGTTCGTATTTCAAAGGTAGGAGAGACCAGAAAACTGGTATTCACATATGGTTTTATGATGCAGGTAGAATTGGAACTTCATCCACTTCAGTAATCAAAGAGGAGTGAGGAAGGGTTCTCCACCAGGGGAGTAGTAACTGACCAAAGAGGGAAGTGTAATATCACTTCAGAGAATGGTGAGTGACTGACTCAGAGAGGCAATTTGTGGAAGAGAAGGCTGGACATTCAAGCTGAAGCCACAGGTAGAGAATATAAAACATCTGATGGAAGAGCTGGGGTCATAGTGAAATAGCATGGCTTCGTTGGGGGTGGACTACATCCAGAGAGAACACGATAATCATTAAGGCTGCATAAGGCCAGAGGGATAAAATCTTGTCCTGTGATGGTGACAACGAAGAAATGAACATGACTGCTGTGGTTTCCAGAGAAGAAATGTCTTCAAGACTACACGTGTGTATGTCTAGAATGAAACAATACTTTTTATTTCTAGTGAATCAGAACACAGATCCAATTTTTAAAAAAGATTTATTTCTTTTTATTGGAAAGTCAGACATACAGAGAGAATGAGAGACAGAGAGGAAGATCTTCCATCTGCTGATTCACTCCCTAAGAGATTGCAATGGCAGAGCTGAGCCAATCCAAAGCCAGGAGGCCAATAGTTTCTTCCGGGTCTCCTACGCAGGTGCAGGGTCCCAAGGCTTTGGGCAGTCCTCAACTGCTCTCCCAGGAGCTCGATGGGAAGTGGAGCTGCCAGGATTAAACCAGTGCCCATATGGGATCCTGAAACGTGCAAGGCGAGGACTTCAGCCACTAAGCTATTGCACCAGGCCTGAAAGATCCAATTTTGACAAGATCTTCAGCCAACCTTTAGATAAATCATTTTTATGTTAAAATCATGGCTAACATGATTTGAGAGTCATGTAAATATTTTTATATAATATTTCACTTCTTGGGATGTAAAGTATGAGATTTACCATTGGCAGTATAATATTGTGAAACAAATAGAGAGCTGATGTGAAAACTTCTAGTGGATAGAAGCGAAAGACATATTCATCAAGAAAATAAAAGTTGAAGGAGAAAGGAGGAAATATAAACATCAGAAACAAAGGGAGAGGATTTGATAAAGGTGTAAATGACCAATGCTTTAAAAGCTTAAAAAACTACAGTGACAGAATGCTGAGTTAGTGTATCCTGCTTGATCATTACAAATTAATTTGTGACCTCCAGTTTTTATCCTTTCGGGGAACTAAAACCTAGAGAATTCTAGAAACTAGAATTGTCCTTTTTGGGAAAAAACAGAAACTCTTCCTAGTTCTAAGTTCTTGATGTCTTATCCTTAGCATCCTTTTGGAATGGAAAATGCATGTTTTATGGTTGAAACTACCTCTTAGATTATTTATTTATGTATTTATTTATTTCAAAGCAAAGTGGATAGAGAAACAGAAAGAAATCTTCTGCCTGCCACTTGATTTTGAAAATAGCCCCCAACAGTGTTACTTCAGACAGAAGTCAGGAGTGAGGGACTCAATCAGTGTCTCTTTCCCATGAGTGACAGAGACTCAAGTACTCGAGCCATCACTTGTAACCTCCCAATATGCACATGAGAAGGAAGTGGTGGTGCGGAGCCAGGCCTCAAACCCAGGCATTCTGACATAGGATACAGACATTCCAGACCAGGGTTTTATCTAATAGGTGCCTATGGCCCATCCCTTGGTCCACTTCTCAGTGGACCATCTTATTCTGTCTTCTCAAGTACCCCCTATCAAGATGCAGTTATTGGCTAATTTTCTGTAGCAATCCCAAGCCATAGTCTTTTTTGCATGAATCTGAGGAGTTTCTGGTTCTTCATCACCACAAGTCTTGAACTGTCTAGATCAGACACGAGAATGTGAGACAGAGAAGTAACAGTTGTACTTCCCTTTCATGCTCTTAGGTTGACATATTTTGGACACCTGGAATAAAAGAGCTAACCAAACATTTTCATCTTCCATTGCTGTGATCTCCCAAAATAGAAGGTCTTTCACTGACTTTTTCTTGAGCCTTCATGCCCTCTTTTGTGTGTGAGACCATACCCTCCCTAGAACACTTTCTTAGTGGCCAGTTCCATTCTTAAAACTCCTTACAACCTTAGTATCTACAGGGCAAAACCCACACTCCTCACTCCCATGTTAAGTGCCATCACTTTCATTCCAATGGTTCTCCAGTCTAATCAGACTGAACCCTTTGGTGATATCAAAATCAGTTACACCAACCTCTGGGTCTCTGCATGTGCTATCGCTCTGGACCCTAATCTCTTATTCCCATTTTTCAAGGCCTCCAAATTCTACACACTCTTTAATCCATCAGATCCAATTTCCCACAAGTGATACTCTTTGAACACCTGGAACCATACCAATCTCTTCCTTCTCTAAAATCCACAGCTTTAATGCATATATCACTAATTTTAGCATGTTTTAGTGTTTGCATTTATTTCACCTAGATTTCATGAAGACAAAACATTTCTCCACCTGAAAAATGTACTAAATTGTCATGATATCTGTGTCACAGAATTGTCAAGGTAGTTAAAAAAATATCTATATGTTGATATTAGTAAGTTGCCAAGCATTTTGGTTACAGGCAAAGGAAGTCAGCACAGCATAGCACACAACTATGTTTTCTTTTCCCGCAGCAGAATTAGAGTCATAATGCAGTTGACATGTACCAACATAAAGTATTGTAAATCCTGATTTAAAATAATGACTTTGTATCTTGCATATTCACACTGGTTTTTAAAGGGAGGGAGAAAAATGCTTTAATGTATAGGATAATGAACACCTTTTTTTTTTTTTAACAAAACCCTGTTACAATCAGCTAGAATTCAAGTTCAGGATAAAATTGTGAGATAATATTTTTTAAAGTGTATGAGAAAGCTGTTTTCTAAGATTAGAGAAATGAAAAACTTGGGAGTGTCACAAACCCAAGTCTGCCTCCGAAGTAGCAATAACAGTGCAGTGGAATCATTAATGTTAATGCAGTTCCATGTACATGTCAAGACTCAAATAGGCCCCTGATGTTTTCCTCTTTGAGTGTGAAAAAGTCATATTTACTCAGGCAGCCTTGTACTCTAGTTATAAAAGGTTATTAATAACCACCTGTATCTTCACTTCTTTGGCTGGGGACGAAAAAAAAAAAAAACCTTTTATCTAGAAATTGAGTGATTTCAATTTAGGTCCCAGTTCTTAATCTCACACAAGAGAAGTCTTATAAAAAAAAAAACTAACTATATAGACTCTAATTATAACCACTAAACAGACCTTTATGATTCTAGACATAATATACAAATTATTTTACATATGAAAGGCAACAAATTTTTGGAATTCCCCAAATTCTAGAGTCATAGAACCTACGTTGGAATTTTGTCACTTTCAATTACTAGTGAAACGAACTTGAGTATGTAATTGAAAAGCCTTCATTTCTTTTTTTTTTTTTTATTATTTTATTACATTGCATCATGAGACACAGTTTTACAGGCACTGGGATTCCACCCTCCCCTCCCCAAAACCTGCTCCCCCCCCACCATGGTGGATTCTTCCATCTTGTTTCATTACCACAGATCAAATTCAGTCGAGATTTTTTTTCCTTGCGAGCATCTACAAAACATAGAGTCCAGCATCTTATTGTGCAGATAAGTTCATCAGTTTCATGGGGAGACAGTTTCTGGTCTGAAGGTACAGCCGAAAGAGTATCATCCCAATCAATTGAAAGCCCCGACATTATATCAGTAACAATTTATAACGTACCAGAATTAGTTGAAATGATATTGTGTAACCAGCATGTTCAAAGAGAGAGAGAGAAAACAACAACAACAAAAAAAAGAGTACAAGTTCTGAACCACATCCTATCACTTCTACATTGACATTACAATTATTAGTTTATATACAGCTGGGTTCTATACACCTTAAAATGGCTATAGATTACTATTCAGCTGTCTCATGTCTATTTTAATTTTAGTATTTAGCAGTTCATAGTGTTGAAGCCTGATTTTGCAGAACCTGGCTGTTTTTCGGGTAGTCTAGCTCTATAACTGTAACAAGACATATGTCAACAGTTTAGGTGAACGGTTTTAGGAGGGGTGTGCAGAGAAATCCTCCATACCCTAGTGAGGAGCAACCAATCTTTGTGTCCCACCCAGTGAGTTATAAGTGCATCCCCCTGCCCATTTCCTGTTTCTAAGCTTTCCTCGCTGTTCTCCATCTATTCTAGGTTTTGTTTGTTTGTTTGTTTGTTACTTTGTTTTGAGGGGTTTCTGAAGCAATCCTGATGGTCATTACCCCACTCTCTCTCATAAAGCCTTCATTTCTACATCATTAAAATGGAATTATAATTCCCAATGCAGAAGGCTCCATTGCAAGGATTAAATGACATGACATTAAAGCACCTAGTTCAATTCCTAACATAAGCTGGGTGCTCATCTAGTTTTATTTTGTTAGGGCAGATGGTTTGTTTGCATCAAGAAATAAGCATTTTTTTCATTAATTAATGAGTTAATTATAAACTGTATCCTCTTTCAACATGGTTCCTCATTAACTTCTCTAGAAAACAAATATATGATATTTAACAAATTTTGTAATTAAAGGACTGGTCAATTATTTTGAGAGCATTGGAACCAACGTCATGGCAGAACAGTTAAGCCATCACTTAAGATGCCTGCATATTGTACCAAAGCACCAGTTTAAGCCCCAGCTGCTTCGTTTCTGAACCAGCCCCCTGCTAAAGCACTTGGGAAGGCATCAGATGAAGGCCCAAGTCCTTGGAACCCAGCCATCCATGTGGGAGAGTAGGAAGGAGTTCTGAGCTCCTCGTTTGAGCCTGGACCATCCCTGGCAGCTTTAGCCGTATGGAGGGTGAATCAGTGGATGGAAGATCTCCCTCTCTTCAGCCCTCTTCTCTCCCTACCAGACTGTTTTTCAAATAAAGAAATATTTTAAAATATTTTTGAGAGCCTTTGCCAATTAAATTTCTATAGTATTCTAGAAAACTAAATAGACAAATTTTAAGATATTTTCCCTATCCTTTTAGTACATTTTCAGTTCAAATATGTAGGTGAAGAAGTTGCTTTGTTTCCTACCTCATCTTCATCTTTCTCTAACTTCTCTATATTAATTAGAGGAAAGAGATTTAATTGTCTTTATAATGTTCATGTATTGTAATGATGATGAAGATGGTCGAAGGTATTTTCTGTATCTGATAATAAACTAATGTTGAGAATTATGTATTTTTTCTCCCCTTCTTACTCTTGATAACAATAGGTTAACAAATGACTCATCGTTACCCCTGTTGACACCCTCCGCGATGCTTAGCTTTTTTTCCAGCTGAGTATCCTTTGTGTGCCATCAGTTGAACTGAATCTTGACAAAGCAGTTTC